TTTGGGTTTAGGGGTTCAGGGGCCTAGGGCTTTGGCTTAAAGTCCAAGCCCAAAGCCTCGAAGAATGAGGCTCGGGGCTTCCACCTATAAACCCTAAACCCTACACCCCAAACCCTATAAATCCCAAACCCAAAACCCTAAACTCTATAAACTCTATAAACCCTAAACCCTATAACCCTAAACCCTAAACTCTATAAACCCTAGACCCTATAACCTTAAACCCCTTTTTTAGACTTTCCTTCGGCTCATACGGGTTTTTGAAGTTAGGGCTTGAAGTTTAAGGTTTAGGGACTTTCGGGCCCATAGGGCTTATAGGTTTCATGGCTTCTGGGCTTTAGGGCTTTTTGGGTTTATAGGGCTTGAAGTTTAGGGCTTAGGGATTTTAGGGCTTATAGGGCTTATAGGTTTTAGGGCTTTTTGGGTTTATAAGGCTTGAAGTTTAGGGCTTCGGGATTTTAGGGCTTATAGGGCTTATAGGGCTTATAGCTTTTATGGCTTATGAGGTTTACAGGGTATTTGCGGTCTGAAGTTTAGTGTGTGGGTTTTTTACGGCTTATAGGGCTTATAGGGCTTAGGGCTTATAAGGTTTAGGGTTTGGGGGGCTCTGATAAAGGCTTACAGGGCTGCAGCTGAAGCCCGATAAAACAGTTTACCTTGATTGTGGTGTCTCGTTTCTGTGCATTTCGAGCTTTGCTTCCAGTAGTCTTATCACGACTATCACTCCGGCAACTACTAGCACTCCTCCTTTCACTGTTCTCACTGCGATTACTCTGATTATTGCTCACTGTCCCTAAACCCTAACCTAAGCCCTAAACCCTACACCATACACACGAATTTAGTCCTTAACTCTTGTCATGCTTCTTGAATCGCTGCGGCGCTTACTCAGAGGATATTTTCCTTGCACCGACAGCGCTTTTTACATCACCTTGGGGCCAAACCGGACCCCAACCACAACTGGGTCGGAACCAACCCGAGCTCTACTTCCGCCGAGAACACAACATGAAAGGCACCCAGCAATCAAGTCTCTGCCAATGAACTGCAGTTTTGGGGGTCTGAGAGCTCGTCGGCATGCGGGTATCAACTCCCGGTATTCCACTTGACTGATATGCAAACAGCGGAAGCCTAAACCCTAAGCCCTAACCCGTCCAGCAGGCGTGCGTCGAAAAGGTCATCTCGCACAACCGAGCTTCGTGAGAAGGTGCGTAGGCTGAGGAGACAAAACTTGGAGGGTAGGGACGGATCGTTACAAGCTACCACCCTACTACAACACTGCGGAGAGCCTGCTGTGTCCAAAAAGTTCGCAAAATTGTTTGTGCCTGATTGCACCTGAGCCCTAAACCCCGAACCCCAAACCCGAAACCCCTGGACCCCGAACCCCAAACCCGAAACCCCTAGACCCCGAACCCTAAACCCTAAACCCTGAACCCTAAACCCTGTAACCCTAAACCCTAAAACCCAAAACCCTGAAACCCCTACACCCCCAGACCCCTAATCCCCAAGCGCTCTAACACGCCCTGAACCTGAGGAGCCGGCTGAGCGATATCCTTCTCCTTCTGCTTGAACGCCAGCTCCTCGTCGGAGCCTTGGATGAGCTGCGCCCAGAGAGCCCAATACCCCCTAAATATCGGATATCGACCTTAAAAAACCGAATATTCAGGCCCCGAGACTTTAAGGCTTGAAGGTATATACTCCATATTTAAGAGGGTATTAGGCTCTCTGGGTGGCTTCTCTTAAGATACTCTCCCCCTAAACCCTAAACCCTAAACCCTAAACCCTAAACCCTAAACCCTAAACCCTAAACCCTAAACCCTAAACCCTAAACCCTAAACCCTAAAAAAATAGGAATCCTGCAGACTGTCGGGTGTATGCTTGCCAGGTTGCAGGGTGTCGGGCTCTAGGCTTAGTGAGTCTTAGGGGGTTTGGGGTTTAGGAAGTTTAGAGGGTTTAGGGGGTTTAGGGGGTTTAGGGGGTTTAGGGTTTAGGGCTTGAGCAGAGGGTAAGATGATGATAAGGAGGATGAAAACTGAGATGAGTATTGGCATGGTGAAGAAGAAGATGACAATGTTGCCGGTGGTGATGTTGATGATGCTGATGGTGACGCTGATGATTTTGGTGGTGGTGGTGATGATGACGATGATGCGGATGAAGATGGCGAGGATGAAAATCATGATGCTGATGACGACGATGATGACATCTATGATGCTGAGGATGACAGTGATGGTGCTGGTGGTGATGATCATGACGATGTCGATGATAGTGTTGATGATGGTGACGATGTCGATGATGATGCTGATGATGATGATGATGATGATGATGACGATGACGATGACAATGACCGTGTTGATGATGGTGACGACGTCGATGATGATGATGATGATGGTGGTGGTGATGATGATGATGGTGATGCTGTTGATCATGACCGTGATGAAGACCATGAGCGAGATCATGTTCATGATGATGATGGTGATGATGATGATGACGATGATGATGCTGATTATCATGATCATGCCCATGATCATGATGATGAGGATGATAAGGGTGATGCTGACGATGGAAATCTTGATGACGACGGCAGCGGCAATGATGCTCATGGTCATCATGTTCGCCACTTGTGTGAGCAGTGTCAACAGCGGGCTCACGGCCATCACGGTCATTAGTGGCCATTACAGGCATGAGTGTTCAATCTTGTCTGGGGTATGAACATTGTCAACAATATCATAGCACACAGGCCGTTATCGCCCGTCTGGGTTGTTTGTCAAGGCATCATACCTACTACTTAGCTGTATGGGGAAACATGAAACTGCGACATGACACAGCGTGATAAAGGACGAAGTAGTTTCACGGATTAGTTAAGAATAGCATATCTGGCAGCACAGCTGGTTGTACTGCAACATACTGCAGGTAAGACCAACAAGATATTATGACGTGAAGTTGACATTTAAGGTTGAACCCATGGGCCCCTAGTATGGGCCTTTAAGCCGGGATCCTTATACACCTACCATATAACCTATATGTACCCTTAAGGGTCCCTAGAAAGGCCTAGGGGTCCATTTTAGGGGCCCATACTTCCAACCTTAGATTACAGTTCGTTGTAGATGCGAATACAATGCAATCAGCTAGCTTGTCCACTGTGCAAGCACTGGCATCAGCTTATGATGCGTGGGTGCGGTGCATCGCATGCTGCAACATGAGATGTATAGCGGGCCGTGAAACGAGGTATGCTGCAGAGTAATTAGGGGGCATGCTGCGCAACAGCCCCACGCAGCAACATAACCCTCAATGTTGAGACATGGTGGGGTTCAACGAAATACGTTGCAACATAACGGAGTAGGACATGCTGCCAGAAAGCTATGGAGCACAGCACAACAGCGAAACGAAGCGAACAGCAAAGAAAAAACACGCAACATAAGACGGAATCTTGGCATAAACAATAAACGAGCGGCGATGAGAGCAGGAGAACAAACACAACAACACACATCCACAAACATGGCACATTCAACAGTGAAGACCTTTTCAACATGTGCTCTGAACTAGTTAGTTTTGCAAACCGGGGGGTTGCGACACTAAATCCTTATGTGTAGCCGTGTACAGAAACAGAGGCAAGCATACATAGCCTATTCTGTGCTTTTCTTGCGCTGATCTCCAACCCAAGACCTGAATCTGTGGTAATGTGGACACTTCCACCATGCGTTCATCCGTCCGTCTGCAAGTTCTGATCTAAGTATAGGTCTGTGTAGTCACCCGTCACGACGTTAACTTTTTCTGCTGACCCTAAACCCTATAAACCCTAAACCCTGTGAGTATATCCCGACCTCGTGCCTGGCTTTCTTTAACACAACGCACCTTCCTTTCTACTCCAGGAGGCTTGCCGTCCGCATCGTTTGCTGAACAAAGACGGAGTTGACCACCTGTGGTCAGCGCCCTAAACCCTAAACCCTAAACCCTAAACCCTAAAACCTAAACCCTAAACCCTAAACCCAAAGCCCTAAGCCCAAAACCGTAAACCCTAAACCCTGAACCCGGAGCACGAAAGGATCAGAGTGCAGCTCGCCTTTCAACTCCCTAGGTTAAGGGTTTAGGGTTTAGGGTTTAGGGTTTAGGGGTTTAAGGGTTTAGGGTTTAGGGTTTAGGGTTTAGGGTTTAGGGTTTAGGGTTTATAGTGGGTTTAGGGTGGATTTGGGCATCCATTGTGCAAACTTAGCGTTTCGGGATGATTTTTGTAACAAGGGTCCCTTTTCATCTCGATCTATACTCGCTGGGGTTCGCCTTGCCTGCAGCCTTAAGAGATCTCGAAACAGATCCCAAAACCGGAAATGCTGAAAAAGTACTACAAAGCCTACAAGCCCAAACCTAAACCCTAAACCCTAAACCCTCAACCCCAAACCCTAACCCCTAAACCTGAACCCTTGAACCCCAGAGCCCTAAACAACAACGCAAGCCGAAAGTCCTAGGGTTTAGGTTTAGGGTTTAGGGTTTAGGGTTTACGGTTCAACCCTAAACCCTAAACCCTAAACCCCGAACCCGAAACCCCATGCCTATACTGCTCTAGACCCGACAGTTCATTCAACCCTGAAACCCCTAAAACCCTAAAAGCCCTAAACCCCTGAGGCCTAAAGTGTTTTGGGTTTAGAGCGTAAACCCTAAACCCCTAACCTATATTGACCTAAAGGCCCCAAAACCCTAAACTGCCAGAAAGATCCGCCATCTGGGTGGTTCTCAAAATTCTGGTCCCTTTCTGGGTTTAGGGTTTAGGGTTTAGGGTTTAGGGTTTATTATAATTCCATCACCTATTATTTAGGGGACCCCAAAAGGGACCATAATTTTGACAACTACCCATATAAACCCTAAACCCCTAAACCCTAATCCCTAAACCCCTAATTAAACCCTAAACTCTCAACCCTAAACCCCAAAACCCAAAACCCTAAACCCTAAACCCATCTGCTGGCCGAGTGGCATTCAGAACAGCAAAGCCTGGGTCAGAACGTAGGATCCACGTTTAGGGCTTGAGGGTACCCTTCAGGGACTGATGGGGTTTACGGTTTAGGGTTTGGGTTTAGGGTTTAGGGTTTAGGGTTTAGGGTTTAGGGTTTAGGGTTTAGGGTTTAGGTTTCAGGGACTTATGGGGTTGCTATAAGGGATAAGGGTTCCAAAGAGGGTTCTAGAACGGGCTGCTAGACGGGCTTAGAGCGTAAGGGTTTAGACGGTTTGAAGGTTATCGGTCTACGATTTAGGGTTCCGGGCTTAGTGTTTAGGTGTTCAGGGATTAGGGGTTCCGGGCTTAGGGTTTAGGGGTTCGGAGTTAAGGGTTCCGGGCTCAAGGTTTAGGGGTTCGGAGTTTAGGGGTTCCGGGCTCAGGGCTTAGGGGTTCGGAGTTAAGGGTTCCGGGCTTAAGGTGTAGGGGTAGGGTTTAGGTGTTCAGGGTCTGGGCCTTCAGGGTTTAAGGTTTTTGGGGTTCTAAGTAAAGGGCTTAGAAATCCTTTGAAGGCCTCTGAAAGGGTTCGAAGGGGTGGATCGAGGGTGGGGCTTGGCTTGGGTTGTACGGCTTTGGGGTTTGGCGTGTTTGGGGTTTAGGGCCTAGTATTACGGTTTAGGGACCCTAAACCCTAAACCCTAAACCTTAAACCCTAAACCCTAAGCCCGGGGCCTTAAGTATGGAATTCTATTGCAAAGCTTCGGCGTCTTTGGGATGTTGGGGTTCCACGGTTTAGCGCTGAACCGGTCCGTAGGTTAGTCGCGAGGCTCTACCCATAGGCCCCATAGTAGTTCCTTCTTGGGATTACCTTATAGGATTCTAAATATGAACCCCCAAAGGGAACTACTATGGGGCCTATGGGTAGTTGGTTTCGGATCTAGAAGGAAAGGGCTCTACAAAGTTAGGGGTTTCTATTTTAGGGTTTAGGGTTGAAAGGGTCTCGGCTTTAGGGTTTATAGGGTTTAGGCTTTACCAATTTTGGGATTTCGGCTTTAGGGTTTAGGGTTTAGGGTCTCGGCTTTCGGGATTAGGGCCTAAAGGGTTTCGGTATAGGCTTTACAAAGTTTGGGATTTCGGCTTTCGGCTGGTCAGTTTAAACTTGGCAGAAAACCATCAATCTCACATTCCTAGAACCTGGCCCCTGGACGAATAAGCCGCGCTAAACCCGATATTTTATGGTTGATGGTATGAACCCTGCATTACCTTCAGGACCCTAAACTATGGGAGTTATGGAATCGTTTTTTGGGTAATGCAGGATTTATATTATCAACCGTATTACACCATCTTAATGTCTAGACCCTGGACGCCTATTCGCCCAAGCCAGGACCCCTAAACACCAAACCCCTGAACGCGAGCATGTTGGAATCCTTATAGAACCCTGACAAACCCTAAACGGTTTGCAGGGTCTGTATTATTCGGGTTCTGGTGAGATTATGGTGAATGTACACTTTGGGGGTGTTATTTTGCGGGGCGCTAATAACAACAGTCTGGCTTTGAGAAAAACGATCCGGCCCAGGGGTTTGGGGCTTCCGTTTTTTGGGGGGTCGGGGTTTAGGGTTTAGGGCTTAGCGTTCAAGGGAGAAAAAATTATAAGTCGGATACCACGAGGCAACCCAAAACAGGAACCCCAAACCCTAAACCGCGGCAACGGAGACTATATGGGTAGTTTTCTTAATTAGGGTCCCTTTTTGAGGTCCCCAATATAGTACGGCACCCTTATAAAAAGGACCCCAAAAGAGGGACCCGAATTTAGAGAACTACCTATATAACCCTAAACCCTAAACCCTAAACCCTAACCTAAACCCTAAACCCTAACCTAAACCCTAAACCCTAAACTCTAAACCGCAAACCCTAGGCAGGGCTTATAGCCGAAGGCCTAGAGTGCGGGGCTTGTCGGGCCGAGCGTCGGGCTCAGGGCGGAGTGCGGAGGCTTCGGGTTGCAGGTTTCGGGTTTGAGGTTTAGGGTTTAATTAGGGCTTTGGGGGTGTAGGGTTTAGGGTTTTAGGGTTTAGGGTTTTGGGGGGTATCGGGTTTAGGGTTTGGGGTTTGTGGCAAAACTACACTGGTTCTTCGGGGAAACATGTCACGAATGATGCCGCGTGGGGATTTAAATCCGCGCTATCCTTCGTAACATGTTGAATGCAGTTCGAGTTCGTGTGTATATACTGTTCTACATTGGCGCTTAGATTCGAACCATTCGCACAAGTTTGGATGGGACTTTAGGGAAACTGTATTACATGTCTAGTTACTTATTTGGGGCGGGATTCTAGAATGTAGAAACCAAGGATGCCTACTCGACCAATTGATTTGCATCTCGCATCCGTAACCCCCAAAATCCAAACCCCCCAAACCTAAGCCACAACCTAAGCCGCAACCGCTTAAACCCAAACCCACCGAGCCTGCCAAGATAATGTAGGGGCCTTTGTACCATCATTCGTCATGATGAACGCTACTTATTCGAGTTTAGTACTACCTTCCAGGGCAGGCTGAGACGCCCAGGACGCACCGGTAGATCAGGAAAAACACGGAAAGCCACTCGCTCACCTCATTTTGAGTCTAGGGTCGGTGGCTTCAGGGTTTGATGTTTCCTGTAGGGCTTAGGGTTTAAGTTTAGGGTTCTCTGTTTAGGGTTCAGGGTTTAGGGTTCTGGGTTCTTTTGGTACACTTCTCGATTTGGGCTTGGAGGGTTTAGGGTTTTGGGTTAGGGTCCAAAATAGACGAGTCGAAAAAGCTCACCCGTTGCTGTGGAGGTTTTGGGGCATGGGGCCTTGATTCCCGAAAACAAGCGGGGAACCCCTACACCCTAAACCCTAAACACCCTAAACCCTAAACCCCAAACACCCAAGATCCTAAACCCTAAAAAAAACACACCCTAAACCCTCAACCCGAAGCCGCAAGCCGCCTATGACTAGTTAACGTGGTTAGTGCACTGCCAAAGAGCTGCCTCGACCCTATAGTAACCCCCAAAAAGTTGGAAACCGGATTAAGGCCAAATAGTGCTGGGATTCCCTCAACATTAGTCAGGATTGAAGATACTGGGTTTCCAACTTTTGGGCTTCTGCTGTTTCTGCTGTAAACCCTAAACCCTAAACCCTCTGACTCTTTCCTGAATCGAGGGCGCTAGGGGTTTGGGGTTTTCGGGCCTTGCGAGTTAAAGCCGTTTGAAGAACGGCTTGGCGATCAATTTTGTAAGACGAGAAGGGAAGTTACTGTTCGATCCGTACTAGCCGTTAAATCAGACAGGGGTCCTTACATGAGTTACATAGCCCTATATAGCCCTAAACCTCAAAACCTAAATCCTAAACCCTAAACCTTAAACCCCAAACCCTAAACCTTAATCTCTACACCCTGCAGCACTAAACCCGCAAGGTTGCAGTGGTTCATTCAGCATGTCACACCACAGCTCCTTGCTGCCTCCTACAGAGGCTTTAGGGTTTAGGACTTAGGGTTTGAGAGAGGGACCCCATGAGTCTAGCGGATGGCTGCTTGGTGAATTTTTTTCGGGTTTATAATGTTATTTATTGCGGAACCCTAAGAGATACTATTTTCTTCTTCTTCTTCGGAACCCCTATGTTCTCCCTGAACCCTAAACTCGACAAAACACGCTGCGGCCTAGGGCCTTGTGACTGCAGGCAGGGTCTTTTAAGTGGGTTGTTCTGGTGTTAAACCGTTGCTTCCGGCACAGGCGACAACGCCGGAGCAGATATAACCACTAATGAGCGTGAACACACGGTGCACGTCAGAAGTAGCCCTCTGCATTCTAAATTCCCAGCCGGCCCAGTAAGACACCGCCGACACACTCAGGTCCCACCCTGAGGCATCACTACACCGCAAGGTGTCGTCCGGGCTACGACTCAGGAGAACGTCCAAATCCTTAAACGTGCGTTCGAGGGATTGGTCGTCGTGACCTATGCCTGTAGCAAGGGATGAGGCGGCGCCGAACGTGTCGTCCTGATGCGCCAGCACGTCTCCGTGGTCGGAGTCATATAGTGCATGGCGCAGGCGATCAGGCGGTCGGGTTCGCCTATATTCCAGATGAGGCGCCAGGCTTTTTCGGCCGCTTTCCTGGCGCTGTTACCCTCTTTCTTGATGAAAGTGGTGACTGGGTCAACCAGGCCAAGCCGCACCATGTCCACCGGAGTGAACTTGTGGAGCTGAGTAGTTGTAGGGTTTATAAGGTTTTAGAGCTTATAGGGTTTATAAGGGTTTAGGGTTTAGGGTTTTTTGAAACATGACATACTGTTGATGATACAAATCCTGCATTACCTTAAGGGTCCTAAACTATGGGAATTATGGTATGTTCCTTACTATGGGTAGTGCATGATTTATATCATCAACCGTAGTGCCTAGAGTGGTTGAGGGTTTAAACTCGGTTTGGGTTTAGTTTGGGGTTTAATTAGGTGGTTTAGGGCCTACAAGGAGGTTTAGGCGGGCTTTACACTTACTTTCTGCCTGCGCTGCTACAGCACGGGCGCTGGCAGGAGCACATCACCCCAACTCCAACCCCAAACCCTAAACCCTACGCTTTGGGGCTTGGGGTCTTCGGGAAACCCAAACCTCCGCGAAGGGTTTAGGAGTTAGGGTTAAGTTTAGGACCACGAAGGATGTAAATGGACCTTCTGGAAAATTTTCTACAACTCGAAAGACACAAAGCCGCCAAGCCTCAACATTCCAAACCGTCTATGTAATGTAAAGCCTGGGGAAAAGCGAACAACAACTGCCGTAGAACCCTCAACACCACAAGGTCCAGAACCCCAAACCCAAGACCCCAACCCCAAACCCTCAAAGCGAAACAAAAGGCTCCCAAACAATTTTTAAATAAAACCCTCAACCCCAAACCCCTAAACTTCTAAACCTTCAACCCTGAACCCCCAAACCCTAAACCTCTGAACCCTCCACCCCCTAAACCCCTAAGCCCTGGACTAAGCCCACAAAAACTCCAAAAAAAACAAAGCCCTGGAAGCCTGAAGCTTCTGGCGCGAAGACGCGAAAGCATGCCCAAACCCCAAAGCCGAGCTTGGCTTAAGGGGTTTGTGGGTTTATGGTTCTGGGTTTAGGGTTAAGGCGTATGGGGCTTTAGGGTTTTCTTGGGGGTTAAGGCTCAATGGGTTAAGGGCTCTGGGTTTAGGGTGAAGGCGTATGGGGTTTTAGGGTTTTTTTGGGGGTTAAGGCTTAATGGGTTTCGGGTTCTGGGTTTAGGGTTAAGGCTTATGGGGCTTTAGAGTTTTTTTGAGGTTAAGGCTTAATGGGCCTCAGGGTTTTTTTGGGTTAAGGCTCAAAGGGCTTTAGGGTTTTTTTTTGCGGTTAAGGCTTAGGGGGGCTGAAGGGTTATCAGGGTTTCAGGGTTTAGGGTTTAGGGTTTTAGGGTTTAGGGTTTTGGGGTTTAGGGTGTAGGGTTGCAATGGGGATAAAGTTTAGGGTTTGGGCCAGACAGGCTGGCGGTCTCTTTTTCAATTTTTCTGTTCCTTACACTACCTTATAACTACTATGTCTTGTAACAAGGATCCCTGTATACAGCCCCTTAAAACCTAGGTTGCCCAGTAGCCCCTTCATAATCAGGGTACCCTTGTTCCTACTATTTGGTTTTTAATCAGGGAGCCCCAAAAAGAAAAAGGGCAAACGGGTACTACTGGGGAACCTAGAAACAGAAACCACCGACCTGTCGAAGGCTCGGGTCTAAGCTAAGCCCAGATAGCCTCTGGTAAACCCCCAAACCCTAGACCCTAAACCCTAACCCCCTAAAACCCTAAACCCTCACCCCTAAACCCCTAAACCCCTAAACCTAAACACCAAAACCTGCCAAAGCGCATTCTCGACGAGCACCCTGCAGGGCGGAGACCAGTTGGCAAATAAGATCTCCTCAAGGCTTGGGGTTTAGGGTTTCGGGGTTTTGGTGGTTTAGAGCTTTAGGATTTAGGGGTTTAGGGTTTAGGGCTTCAGGAGTTTAGGGTTTAGGGGGTAGGGTTTAGGGTTCAGAGCTTAGGGCTTAGGGTTCCTTGAAGGGCTCTTTTTCAAACGCGGTCCCATGGAATCTGTGAGGGTTCTACAGCACAGGAGCCTTCTGAAGTGGCTTTAGGGGAGACTCGACATGCGAGCTTCAGAGGACTCGGGCATCCTCTAGGGTTTAGGGTTTAGGGTACTTTACTTCTATGAGCAGCTGTCACGGTGTTCCTTTAGGTTTTGTAAAGAACCGTCTAAATACATCGGTTTTACATTTTGGGTGGAATATCATTGCATGCAGGCATTTGGGACGTGATTTTCCCGTAGACCCCTGATTCAATGAACCCCTCGCCTTCGTCTTCTCCAAATGGGAAGGCACACTGACGGCTGGGGGTGGGCCGATCATCCCTGCTGAAAACCAGCGTCTGACGTGCCACTTTGTAAGGCACCGCATGAGGCGGGCTCGACCTGACTCCGCCATCTTCACGATCTTGCCGTCTCTCACACAGGCGAGCAGGCAATGCGGCGGAAGTTTCTTGTTGGCCTTGATGTCGCAGACGATCATCACCGTTATCTTCCCGCCCGCTTTAAATTCCCTTCATTCATGCGGAGTATAATGCGGATCCTAGCACCTAGTATGTATAAGGGCCTTTGAAGAGGAGTTCTTTGATCGGGGGTCTGCATGGATGGGGGTTCGGATCTCCGAATCGCCCCACCCCCCTGGGTCGAAACCTTAACTGAAGGTTCCGGGTGCAGGGTGCAGAGGATCAACTCTAAACCCTAAACCCTAAACCCTAAACCCCTAAACCCTAAACCCCTAAACCCTAAACCCTAAACCCTAAACCCTAAACCCCAACAGAATTCCCAGCATCATCACGATTTTCACTATCACCATTGACACCTAGATCCTCTTGAGATCTTAATGGGCCCTAAACAAATCCTAAATTTCCTAAATCGACGGGGGCTCATGAGGGATCCTACAGGGGGTCTTTGAAAAGGGTCCTATCGGAGTCTGCCTCACCAGGGTTCTATAAGGGATTGCATTCGGGTTCAAGATATTTGGGATCGGGGCTTGCAATGTCTAGTTCTCGCTTCGGTCCCTTTCTGATGCCAGAAAGCCTCTACCCTAAGCCCTGCTAGATCCCTTTTATCAACGACCCCGCATCCGAGACTTAAATCTCGAAGGCCAAGAAGCAAACATCGTGAGGAAACATCGCGTGAAGGTGCCGTAGTACCGGAAAACCTCCTCAACATAGGGTTAAGGGTTCTTTTTTGAGGCCCCTTTTTGAGGGTTGATTTTGGACCAAATCTGTAAGGTCCGTAGGCTTGTGTGTGTGTGTGTCTTTCCTGTGTAATCTGGGGTTCGTTTGTAAACCCTAAACCCCTAAACCCTAAACCCTAAACCCTAAACCCTAAACTCTAAACCGTGGCCCTAAACCCTAAAATGGAACCTCCTCTACCGAAGCAAAGAGTAGGCTCAAGGACTTCTGGAATGGCGGGCTCTGAAAATGCCAATTACTCTTTTAGAGTTCAGGGTCTAGGGTTTAGGTTTTTAGGTTTTAGGGTTTAGGGTTTAGGGTTTAGTGAGCTAATACAAGGGTTTAGTTTTGGGGCCCTGATAATTAGAACAGGGTTTCGGGGTATGTTGTTGCATATTTCATACAAGGAAACCCCAAGCCCTAAACCCTGGAGCCTAAACCCTAGTGTCATTGCTATTCATTCAGACCCGTAGATCTACTCCTTGGGCCTCCTCACTGGTGTCTTTATTTTAGGAGGCTCCCGTGGAGTTTCTGTTGAGCCGTGCTTTCCTGAAGGGTTTAGGGTTTACTTCGAGTTTAAGGAAGGCAGCACTAAAATTAAGCCCTTTACGTCGAGGTGACGGAGCCTCTGTGATATCACGGCCTTTAATCATTGGAATAAGGTTTGGGGTCTAGAATACTAGAGTCTCGAAATCTGCACTAAAGAAATCGGGAAAGGGTTTTGGGGTAGGCATTCCAATAACATCCAATAATTTTCCGAGGAAGTCCAGGGAACAATCGGTACTTATTCAGGCCGGCAAACTGGGTGGTTGCAACTGGGGTCTCATGAAGAGTCCTTTTATACGGGTGCCGTACTATTTACTTTGGGGATCTACAAAGGGACCCGAATTTAGAGAACCAACAAATGATCCACAATCAGATCCTCAGGAGATTGAATTGAACTGTCCGGTCAGAGGTGAAGCCCTACCGATCTCTAGGCCACTTTAAAGGATATAGGGTTAAGGCTTAAATAAGCCCTAAACCCCTAACCCTAAACCCTACACCCATAAGGGTTCGGGATATTCTGAAGCATCTGCTGCATTTCTACATGTCAGGTGACGGGTCTTTGTGTCCGCCTTTCAAAACACTGTTTCAAGCCATCGCGAACTCTAGAGTTTAAACTCCTAAAGCCCTAAACCCTAAACCCTAAAACCTAAACCCAAACCCCCAAACCCCCTAAACCCTAAACCTCAAACCCCTTAAAACCTAAACCCCAAAACCTAAACCCTGAACCCCCAAACCCCCTAAACCCTAAACCGCAAACCCTTAAACCCTAATCCTAAATCCCAAAACCCCCAAACCCCCCAAACCCTAAACCCTAAACCCTTAAAACCCGAGGGGAGACCGGCCTGACGCACGGCCAAGTCGTTCGCGGGGTCGTTCAGGAACTCACGGCAGAGGGTGCCTGGATTGCAGTTCTGGGTTTAGGGTTTAGGGCTTGGGGTTTAGGGTGTAGGGTTTAGGGTTTTGGGTTTAGGAACCATAAAAGGAAATTAAAAAGTTTGCCAAAGTGCCGTCAAGGTGCTGATGACCATTCCTGCCACGCACCTGGTACGGTTTCGGGTTTATGGCGGGTTAAGGCTCGGGTTTGAAGTTAAGGGTTTAGGGTTACCCGGCGTAAACAAGGTACCTTCAAAAACCGGAATGTACCAGTTCTTTTGGGGGGTCATATAAGTAGTTCTCTAAATTAGGGTGCCTTTTTAGGCTCCAAGTGTAGTGACTTAGTACAGCACCCTTAGAAGCAGGACCCTAAAAGGGACCCTAATGTAGAGAACTACCCAAGCAAAACCCTTGTTAAAGCACCCTTATAGAAACCCCTATAGGAACCCTTATAGATCCCTTCAAGGAGCCCTAAAACGGACCCTAATTTAGAGAACTGCCCTCATTGTACCCTAAAAGTTTCCTTACAGAAACCCCTATAAGAACCGTATAGGAGCCCTTATGGATCCCTTTCAAAGAGCCCTAAAAGGAACCTTAATTTACAGAAACCCCAAACCCTGAACCCTGAAAAGGACCCTGATTTAGAGAACTACCCATATCCCCTAAACCCTAAACCCTAAGCCGTAAAAGGGACCCTGATTTAGAGGACTACACAGATCCCCTAAACCCTAAACCCGAAAAGGGACCCTGACTTAGAGGACTACCCA